GTCTTTTTAGACACCATTTATCGCATGCTATTGTGTATGAAATCATTCGTTTAGGTCTGCATGCTCATCTTGTGTTGACGAGAGATCTGTGAATGACCGTCCTCACTTTACAGATCAGGAAATTTAATATTATGTCGCTTAACTTTCATATTCTATATCTCCTTCATATTATAAGTTGTATTTATTTATTTAGTTTTGGGTAATTATCATAATTCAAAACCGGCTAACATGTGTCTATCCTATACCGTCGGACAATATCGGTTACAGTTTTTAAAGACTGATCACCTTTACTTGCCACATCCGTATGTGGTAGTCAAGATTAGCCCCCCTTAAATACATGTAACTGAAACTGGGAGATTTTAAGGAACATTGGCTCAAGTTTGCACAGCCTGGAAGGGATGGATCCGGGTTTCAGTCTCAAACATTTTGGATCCACGGCCCCCATGCAATGCCCGCCTTCTGGAACAGCTTACGATTCAGCTATAATGCTTGCATCCCCAGGCTGGCACTCTCCTCAGTCCTCGGCATTATGAAGTCACTTAGGTAAGTATGCTCCTTATTCCCATTTTAGAGATGTGATAACTGAGTAGGTGTTCATGGAAGGAGCCATCTATCCTTAGGGATTACCACTCCTCGCAGCCGAGACCCAGCTCTGCCCACAGTAGGGTCGTCAGGACTCTGCCATCCCAGGATGAAGTGTCTGGAGAAACACACACTAAACTTCATTCTAACGTGCAGTCTCTTACATAGCCAAAAAAAAATAATGCTTTGCCCAAAAGGGTATGTTTTGGTGCAGAAGGAGGAGGGAACAGTGAGGTGAAACCCATTTTGAGGTGTTAGAATATCCATTTTCTGTTACCTGAATGATTTAAATCAAGAGCAATGCTGTGTTTGCGCACATGACAATCTTTTGACTGACTAGAATATTTCACTACATTCAGTTACTGTGTTTTTCTTAAAAAGAAATACTTATCATTGTGTCTAGATAATAAAATGGTGATGTTCAGTAAGCCCTTCCACTGAAGCGAGGTTGCAATAGCTGCACTCATGATAATTCAATACACTTGCAAATAGTTCAGAGATGGGGTGCCTGGGTGGCTCAGCCAGTTAAGTATCTGACTCTTGATTTTGGCTCAGCTCATGATCTCAGGGTTGTGAGTTCGAGTCCCGCATCAGGCTCAGCGCTCAGTGGGGAGTCTGCTTAAGATTATCTCGATTCTCTCCCTGTCTCTCTTTCTCTCCCTCTCTCTCAAAAAAAACAAAAAACAAAAAACAGTTCAGAGACAAAAAAGCCATGAAAATAGTTTCTTCTATATAGTTAGTTTTTAAAAAGTCAATATGAAGCTATATTTGCTCTTCTGATAGCAACAGAAAACCTCCTTCCAGAAATAAGTAGACTCTTGATGTTGGGAATTTTGCGTGTGAGGTACTCTGAACTGTGAGTATTGCATCTTCGACCGCCATGTTACTGTGAGTAAATCTTACCCTTAACTTGAGTTTCTTCCAGATAGTTTTAGGAAATAAGGAGGCTGGTTTTTAAGAGGCAAGAGCTTTTGACAATGCACATTGAATTTCTAAGTAGAACAAGTCCTCCACAAACTGGTAGAATGGGTCTTTCTCTGCCATAGTAAGAGAGCCAAGGAAATGATGCTGAGGTGTAGTTTCTGAGAATATCACAAATTGGATTGTACCTGAAGACCATGGCACTAAAGGTTAGCTCTCCACTAATAAACACACTTGTTAGTTTTCTGCTTTCTGGGATACTCAGGTATGCACCCTGGCCAGAGTTAACCTGCTTTATTTTTTTAAGATTTTATTTATGTATTTGAGAGAGAGAGAGAGAGAGAGAGCAGGGGGAGGAGCAGAGGGAGAGGGACAAGCAGACTCCATGCTGAGCATGGAGGCTGACACGGGGCTCAATCCCATGACCCCAAGATCATGACCTGAGCCCAAATCAAGAGTCAGACTTAACCAACTGAACCACCCAGGCACCCCCAGAGTTAACCTTTTGCTCAGGGACAGTAATCAATTAAAAGTATCTGTTGAATATTTACTATAAGCCTAGAAATGTTAAACCATATAAGAGATTAAAAATGGACATTTTTCAGAGGCATGCCCTTAGCCTCAAAGAACATGTGGGGAAAGATGATAAGCATATGCTAAGTGCTAAGCTCTTCTTAAAATTATAAGTATAATAGGATTTAAGAAAAAGATAATTTTCTTGGTAGCTTGGAATAATATTTCAAAACTGCACAGATAGTACAGTGCTGATATGATTTGGGTAGCAGAGTGGAGAATGGATATTGCAAGACAGAGAGAGGGGAGGAACATATTTGGCCTCTGAGCCACAGATATCTGGAATGTGCTGAGGGTCACGGGAAATAATGTCGGTCTGTAGAATGTGTCCAGACATCCTTGAAACACGCTAATAATGTAGCTTGCTTTGGGAGGCAGGAAGGTGCCATTTTATCTTTTCAGCAGGAGATAGAAATAAGAATCTTTAATGAACCATTGCCTATCTGCATTTACATGAGAGAAATATTCAGACATACAAGAGCAAGAACAATCAGAGCCCAATATAAGTTGTTATACATTTTTTTCTTAGCCATTGCAAGATTTGCTTGTTTATTTTTATCATTTGCATAGCAATTCTGTAAATTCTGGCAAAAGTAAGAAGCTGATTAACTGGCACATTTGCCTGATCAGTTGATGTAAAGAAGTGTGTCAGGAATGTGATTTCTTGACAGTCCTGATTACCTGTTACGATACCAGTCAGACCACCAATATTTAACCATAGCTGATGCCGGCACACTGATTTGTAGTTTATAAGACCCGTTCACAACTACTAAGCAGTAGAACTAGAAACAAAATCCCATTTGGAGAATTCAGAATTCAAGTTTCAGTGCTCTTACCAATATTCTCTTGCATTTCATTCAATTACAGAATGTGATATCATTTTTATTTATATACTTAAAATTTCAAAACTAACCCATCCTATTTAATAGTAATTATAGCAATTTTTCCAACTCATTCTGGAAGGGCAATAAATATTTATGCTCTCGTAAAGGTATTTTTGACTTGATGGATAACTGTGTTTTCAGAACCACCACAATCTATTAGGGCAAACATATTTTTTATGTTTTTTTACTAAGGCATTTTGCAGCTATTCCATGTGCAGAAAACTCCTTCTTGTTCTGTGTACACATTTTGACAACATTCATTATCTGCTTAACAGATCATATCGGTTCTGCAAAAGCCATTATGGTTGACTACAGAAATTTAAAGTTCTTTCCTTACTAAAGAGCAGAATTTTGCAATCATATAGCAGATCATTAAATTTTACATTTTAAAAGGCTTATATGATGCTTAACAAGTCACTAGCCCATGTTAAGCATGATACTTTCTTTTCAAAATGACTACTGCATATTTTCTAATCTACAATATGTGTTTTTTTTTTTTTTTTTCAAAATGACCACCACATATTTTTAAATCTTTAGCCAGGGACCTAAAGGCAAACCAAGCCAAGGGAAGAAGGAACTGTTCTTCTGGGAAGTGGGGGATGGGGGG